ACCACTTTAAAGTAATTCCTTGACGAATTTTTTTCAGGATATTCTTTCATTGGCATCTCTTACGAAACACTATTTTAATACTGAAGAAGTACATTTCTCCAAATTCAGTATCCACATCTTTCCTGTTCTCTTTCTTCTCCTCTTCCTCTCTGCAGAGTATCGTTCTGGAGAGGGTGGGAGATTTTGTTACATGTCCATAACACTGCTTTTTTTCATTGTTGTTAAAAGAGGGTTATAGTTTCCACACTCATCTTCTGTCATTGAATGGATAAGTATTTTGGCACACAGTGTCCTCATGACATTCAAGGTTAGACAAATAGTTCACATGGGCTCAATCTCACAATTTCTGTTATGTTCACAGATTAAGCATATTTTATTTTTACTGTGAACAGACCACATAACCTATAAAATGTCATGGGATTAACAGACTTACATATTCCTAGCCATGAAAAGCTCTTTCAAATCCAGTGGTGCTTGACATGGCCAAAGTATGTAAGTTTTCTAGACAAGATGCTGTTTATGAGCCAGTTTTCCTTAAATTCAGAATTTTGTTTAGGATGTCAGTATTTCTTTTTTTTCTTGTTCCAAGATATTCTAAAATTATTTCTATAATATATCAGCTTAAAAGCCTAATTTATCTACATTTATATTACTCACATTCAGGAAAAGATAATCATGACTTTGAAGTCACCTTAAAAAAAATTCAGATAATTTGGAAGCTTAAGAAGAGTGAACAAAGGGAGAAAATTCCTAGATGAACCAAACACGTGACATGGGAAATAATCAGCAGCCAAATTTATCAAGAACACATAAAATAAATTTGGCACCAATCAACACAGCATAAGATAATGTTGACTAGCTAATTACAATTACTCTGTAGCTTAAAAGTTAGTTAAATTGATTTACAATCCAGTTCTTAATATAGTAAGGCTTGATTGCTGTGACAGACAGTGTACAGTGGTACAATAGTCACACAATGGAAGAAACTGGAGCCTCACCAGATAATATTCTCCAAGCTAACAGCAGTTGCACTGCAGCCAACCACCATTGTAAGGAAAGCAAGACATAGTTTTTCAGCTGCAATTTTCTTCACTGTGATTGAAAACACCAAATTCCCCATTTTGCATGTCACAAGCCAGAATATGTTTCTTGATCATGCTACAAGAGGGTGTTGAGAATATGGTGACAGCCAGAAATGTTGAGGTTACTAGGGACAGAGGTCAACAGAGGGAGGAAAATCTAGATGGGCTGATATAGTAGAATGGAAGACAATCAGTGGTCAAACTGATAAAAATGATGAATGTTGAATTAAGAATCAACATCATAGCCCTTGGGATACTTCCATAAGCGCTCTGTCCCATCTTCAGCAAGAAAAGAGTTCCAATTCTAATGGTACCAGTAACTGTCTGATTGTACATTCAACTCCCCTTTCCTTTGAGTGTTGAGCATCAGCCAGATCCCGCGGTAACTCTCTGCAGCGATATTCTCCTCAGATCGTAATGATCTATTTGTGCTTCCACACTGGTAAAACTGATATCAAGCTCAAAAGGCTGAGTGGCAACATGATCATCTGTTTCGTCCGCCATGGTGTGCTACAGGATGACAAATACCATACTACTATATACTCTATGGTGTAAGTAAAATTTGCCACTCTTCTATCAGAGAAAGCATGAGTTTCATGCCTTCTTTTCTCCAATTACACCAGCAAAGTGTTTGAAGTCTCAGTGAAGTGTTTGGAAACCAAAGTGATCACAGTTCTTAAGAAGCTAACATTTACTAGTTACTACTCCTAAATATATCACTTGGTACTAACATGACACATTCCACTCACGCTCTGAAGGGACAGTATGAACCATTAAAAAAAAATAAAAAATACTCTAAATATTGTATACATTTTTACACAATAATTGTCACCACCAAACATAACTGTAATTAAGGTAATGAACCTCATTAGTATTCACCTCCTGATTTCAAAAATTATGAGATTATTTACCACCTTATTTTAAAAAAAAATCTTCTTTGTCACATCCTGTTGTTTGCCAATGTAAAAAAAAAAATTTGGAAATGTATCTTATGTGGTTCCTCTTAAATGCTACCAGGTCGAGGTCAAGTATAATCAGTGGAAAAGTGCAAGTTTATGAGCTTTTAATATGTGGGTTTCCCAGGACAGGAAAAGGATCAAATGGGAATTTTTTTTAATTACACATCTATTTACTGTGTTTTCATACTTTAATAATCTCTTTCTCCATATTATTGTAGCCAAACATACACAGTTAACAATATGTTAAAAATACTGCCACACTGTGGCTATGGATACAATAGAAATGAAACTGCAACACAAAGCAATAAAGACAAATCACCTAATGAATTAAAGCTGTGAAAGGCTTTACAGGAAATGAATCTATCATTCTGCACTAAAAGGAAAAGTATGTTACTGCCCTACTGCTCTGCAATTTCTTTAATCTCATCACCACTATGCAGGAGGTTTGTTTTTTCATGCAGAACTCTGCTCGGATTACAATCCACCGGAGAACCTGTCCATCCTTTGCTGATTCTATATTCTCTTTATATCACAGTTGACACATAAAGCGTTCACAACTGATCTCCTCTGTAGCTTGTCTGCTGCTTTTCTGCCTATGGTATACAATGCAATTTTACACCTTTTTGACTTAGCTTTCTACTGTCCTTCTCCAGTTTCCTTATGTCACATATATCTCCTTCCATATGCCATTGGAGAGCTGTCTTTTCCAAAATGTCCACGAGGCATTCTGCAAATATATCCAAGCCATCTCCATCTTCTTCCTTTAAAAATGTATGCAGTGGCGAATGCTGTTTTCCTCTTCAGTTCTTCATATGTGATCTTGGTTGGCCAAAATTTCAGCAGAAATGTCCCAGATTCCCTGCCAATTCCCCTGCATTAAATATTTTTTCAGTAACCTAAACAATTAAATTAATTAATCAATCTATTTCACAAGTACAAGATCACCCAATCTGGCCACCCTACACACACAAAAAAAACAACAAATCTAACAGTCTATGGTATACTGTGAAAATTAAAAACATTGGGCCTTCCCATGCGTGCTCAGTCCTCTGATACAGCAGTCACTCCAAAGTACCTCTACTGATTGCCCCCATGAGGAGCTGTTTATAATGTCTCCTATCTTGGCCTCAAAGGTGACATCGACATGCTTCACTAAGCTTTACTCCCATGTCAGGCAATCATATTAGTGTCACAGATTTGTCATTATCCACTAATCTAGTCCATACAATGTTGATGATATGTGCTCTTTCCATGCTTCTTCTCATATCTGTTTGGTGCATTGCTTACCAGGTGGTCCGCCTGTATGTTACCTTTCACACGGGCATGGCCAGGCTTTACAGTGTTAGACCTACATTTTATAGACCCTGGCAACTAGAGGGTCATGTGGTCAACATCATGTCGGCTGCCTTTACTTCCCAGGACTCTACCTGGTACCTATTTAAGGCTTGATCAGCCTATGAGCCAAGGTAATTTTTTTTTTTTAAATCCCACTTAATGTGGATATGAACCCATGACCTTTGGAGCAGCAGGTGAGCACCTAACTGCTACACCACAATGGTTCCTTATGATGGATCATAGTTTCAATACTGGAAGAAAAAAAAAAAGCATATATCTATCCATAATTAACTACATAAGCAAAGATACACAATAAAAACTAATAACAAAATGATCAAAATGAAAACTGAAACCATATTCATTAACAAATGATAACCCAAAATACAGTGACAGTAACTTCCAATGAAGACACCCCAAAGTCAAGGATACAGCATGTCCCAATGCAGAAAATCACCTCAAAGCCCAGAATACATAAGCACAATACAAGTCAAGCATTCAGGAATCTCCAGAGCAGAATACCTAAGTCAAATCAAGAATTCAGGAATTTCTAATGCAGGATACCTCAGTTAAAACAAGAATACACGAATCTCCAGTGCAGAATAACCTCAGTGGAGAATACATTTTTTTCCTATGAAGAATACCAGTTAAGTCAAGAATATGTGAATCTCCAAAGCCGAAAACTGATAACATTCAGGTCAAACTTGTATCAAGCACAAGCAAATGATTAATAGCATCTTCATCCCTACTTTATGCCATCAGTGTGAAACAAGGACAATGAATAGGGAACTGGAATGGACACTAACTACCTGTGAAGTGTGCTGTATTCGTAAGGTCACTAACAACACAAAAAGGGACAGAGTTACGAATACCAGCATTAGAGAGAAAGCTTGACAGACAAACAAATGAAATGGTTGCGCTATCAGGTGAGAATGCTGCCAGCCCAAACTGCATATGAGACTTTTTAACAGCAGAACACTGGAAGGAAGGAGAGGGGAAGACAAATAAAGAAAAGGATAAATGGGTTGTTGAAACCTGTAAAAAGGATTTTAACAAATTCAACACCCAAGAAGCACAAAGACAAATACAGAAAACTGGACAACAACATGGCATCAGTGAGCCGACAACAGAAGAATAGGATTCTTGGTAGGGCTGACCTGGTGGTCAGGGTCAACTATAAAACTCCAAGATACAGCTCTAACACCAGACCTTTGGGCTGGCAGGCAAGTATCTAGCCGCTGCACTATTGCAGCTCCCAGTGAATGCAAAAAGGGGTTTTATATAACAAGAAATGAAGTAAACAGATAAAAGACAGGTAAATCAAAAATTTATATAACAAATAAGGTACACATCTATAATTTTAAATAATTACAATTTAAAATGGTTAACCCTTGATATATCATAGCTAAACATCAATAAAATGTTCAGAAATTGTGTTCAGTGTAGGCTAAACACCAGAATGTGCTTGCTCACTGCCACGTATTTCTCCACATATGTGAACATAATATATGCCAAAATGTGAACCCACAAGACTACCACAGCCCATAGATAATATATTTACAAGTATCCCACCTGAAAAGTAACCTAGCCTCTGATAGCAAAGGATAGAAGAAATAACCAGCAACTTTTACTTGCTAATAGCACTAACAACCGCCCATAAAAGTTCATTTGTGCCTTCCTTCATGCTTTCTGTGTCACAATCCAAATCCAGCAATTCCCGCACCCTTTTCATGGCAACCTCATAGTCTTCATCAGACAGAGGGGCAAAAGCATTTTCTAGAACATCAGATGAGTGTGCCAGATAGATGAGGGCAAGCATACGCCGGTCCATTCGGTGGGCATCATTTGTCCAGCGGCTCAGCACGGAATCCTGGACTCGCTTGATCAGTTTCTGCTTGACAATGTTATCTGTGAGTGGATGGGTGGTCATGTCAAACAGCAGGAAGTTCTGTTTCTCTGTGGTGCAAACACCCTTTTCTACCAAGTTCTTGGCCAGTCGTTCTCGGACATTGCGCAACTGGTAGCGTAATTTCAGTGGATTCCAAGTCTCACCTGTTTTGGAAAGTACAAACAAATATTGGTAAAGTTATGTGATAATATTCATATAAAAATAAAGCACACATTAAAAATAAGGTATCAACCGTCAAAATGTTTAAAACAGAAAAAGTTGGGAAAACTGAAATTATATGTCAGCTTCAGATAAAAAAATTACAATAAACAATCAACAGACACTGCAGCAACAAGCTTTTATCAGCAAACGATAACAAGACACAAAACCCATATGATATGCTCATAAACACTGTTTTTCCAACACTTTTTTATTCAAGCTTTCACAGCTTTACAAGGTGTATGAGGGCATGCTTGGCACTGCAGCCAGCAGTGGTAAGGTTGGCTAGCTTCTCTTTGGGGAGGTGAAAAGTGAAATTTAAGTAGCCTGCCAACGACCCATAGAGCACCCATGTCAACCCAACCTCCTGGTGGTGCATGTCTGAAAATTGAAGCCGAAAGGTTTCAAGCTAATTGGGCAATTAGACAGGCACCAACTAGGTCAATTTTTTTTCCTGCCCCACCCCACGACAGGGTCAAAGAAAGTCTGCAGTCGTGTAACTGATTGCTGCTACATAAGAAATACTAACTACATATAGAAAGAAGAGACAAATACCAGCATTAGAGAGAAAGTTGGAAAAAGCCCATGTCTGGGGTATATTGGCAGACACTGAATAAAGTGGTTCAGCCATCTAGTGAGAATGAAGCCAGACCAAATTGCGTCTGAGACCTTTTTTTCACAGAAAAACTTCTCGGAGGAAGGCCAGAGGAAGACAAAAACAAAAGAGAAGAATAAATGGTGTAGCTGAAACCTGCAAAAAGATGAACAAATCCATCACCCAAGCCACCAGAGAAATGCAAGATAAATACAGAAAACCACGACACTGGACTACAATCTGGTATCAGTTATACAATCAAAGAAGAAGAAGAGTGTTAACATTTATTTTGATAACTGTCAACAGAAATGAAATTGTAAGATACTGCCTGATAAGGAAAGGGGGGGGGGGGGGGGGGGGGGAGAAACTGATATACACCTTCAACATACAGCAAATTTTAACACAGATGGAAGATGTTTTAGCTTTTTATTGGTAAAATAAATTAAATGAAATTGGGTGAGATGGAGTGTTATCTACATCTGTTGCATAAATCATTATATGTTTACTGTTCATTTAAAGATATGTATTTCAAATTAACATTTACTCCTCATATCCAACAGGGACCATGGCATTGGACTGGCAGATGCCTTCACATATCTATATGCTTCTTCTTTTCTCCAGAAACTTTTTTGCCTTTCAGCATCTAGTTTTGAAGAGGCATCTGGTGCGAGCTTTAGTGTGTGCTTACATGGATGCTGGTATTCACAGCCTCTGATATCCAACTGCAGTATACAAGTTTATCATTTTTATGTGGACTATGTGCCAGTTTACAGTCACAGCAGATGCTGTTTCCAAACCCAACGGCACAACACCATGGGTATGTGTGATATACATCTATTAATCGCTCACCCAACTTAAGCTAAACCCTTTGTTGTCTTGTTTATAATTACTTGTATTGTCTTGCTTACAATTACTTCTATTGTGTAGGAAGACAGAATGATGTGTCTTTTCTAGGAGGGGTAACCTGTTTGTGACAACTTACCACTGAGGTATTCTATCCACGTTTGCACTGTTTCTGGGGGTTGAGTTTCTTTAATGTGTCGCAGAGCTTCATCCAGCAGCACGTCTCCGGTTGGCTGGTCATTTTTGCATATGACTTTCCGGTTGGCAAGGCTGCGTCGTCTCATTCCAGCTTTCTCCAGCTCAATTCTGCCTCTCAAAGACAATTCAATGAGTATACAACCTCTCAGTCCGGATGATATGCAGTCATTCCAAAACGATGTGTAGCCCTTAAGAAACAACAGGCTCAATTAAAAAAAAAAAGAACATTAAAAAAAAATATATATATATAATTAGAAAATCTTTACAATGGAATTTACATGGTAGCAAAAATAAAGACACCCCCCACTCCCTCTCCAAGGCAAGAAGAGGATAAAGAGTATCACTGAAAAGATTGGGAGGACATGAAGTGGGCTGCATGCAACAGCCAAGGATAAGGCAACATGACATGAGCTGGTTAAAGGTCTATGCTCCATTAGGAGACAAAAAGCAGACATAAAAGAAGTTTAGTTTAGATGACAGATCAATATCATGGCACAAGGGTAGTGACCCATAAGTGCCCCGTTCTACTGACTCAAGCCTGAGTCCAAAGAATCTCAGCGCAGTGCACGAACTCCGTAGCACCGGAAATGATCCTGAAATACTTTGGGTAGATTTTCAACTCCCCATTTTGTTAGCACTCGAATTCCAACTGCCAAGGATCCGCGAACATACTTTCTTACCACTCAGAGTAGGGAAAATTACTAATGTCACATCCCCATTTTCACCGGGGCTTGCCCCTGAACCTCCAGCACTCGAGGCAGATGCCGCCGTCTAGGCTACAATATAACTTTTAGTAGAAGTTCTTTAGAGTGGCTGCTGCTTCGGAGAAACTGCCAAAATGGAGTATTTTTGTGACGCGTAGGGAGTCGCCAAACCCAAAGGTATTCGTGCCAAAGAACTGCATGGCTGTTGGGTGAATCAGTCGTAACGATGGCACTCAGGGACGAGCCTGCTGGTGGAAAATGTACTAGATTTCCCCACATGAAGACATCCCTCAGCCCGGTCAAAATGGACTGGTACGGCTTGAAAGCCTGAACCTCCAGCACTCGATTTGTAGCTGGAAAGATGCCATACATGCATGGCGTGACACTGAGCTACGTTTGTTTTTCATGCACAGAGCCCCCGTTTGCTATGAAGCTGAAACTAGGATTACCAGATTACCAGATTACCAGAAGTATAAATAAAATGAATAAAAACAAAGGAGGATGAGCAGTTAATTAAAAACAAATTTCATACTAAGTAAATCAACAAGAAAATGAAAAATAAAGCCTAACATTTTTATCTCAAGTCATAAATGAGGTATAATCAATGACTATAAAAAGACTGCCAGGGTTACTTAGTACATAAACACACAAGATAATAATGATGAGATGGACAGAAAAAATAAAAATGCACAGAAGAATATGAAACAAATATACTACTTTCTGAAAAACTTTTTCAGCACAGAACTGCATGAATAAAAATGATTTCTACCCTGAACAGTTACTCATGAACTGAATTAGCTTACAGAAATTTAAAAAGAAAAAAAATGCTTGTAAGTTATTTAAAAAATAATAATCATAACAGTACAGAATCACTAAAACTTCTTACTGGCAATCATAAAAGCACAAACACACATATTAATATAGAAGTGAAGATTGTCAAATAACAGATCAACTTTAGACAATCTAATCCACAAAGGATGAGTTCATGAGATATTTCCTATCGTACAATCAAGACGAAATAAGGTCGCAACAAAAGTTAATTGGTGGGCACTGTAGTCCTTTGTCATGTATGGATAAAGATAGATGACTTGTTGGATAGACTGATGGATGGACATTATTTTAAAAGAAAAAGGCTCACCTTTAAACTATATATGTATGCATATATATATATATATATATATATATATATATATATATATATATATATATATATATATATATATATATATATATATATATGTTTTCAGAGCTATTTATTTCAAAGTCCCTCACTAAACATAAAGTGTAAAAACATAAATAACTTTTTTAGGCTCTCCTTTCAACTACGGCCGGTAGACAACAGCAGTAGACGGCCGGTTAGTCAGAGTTCTGTCCCCTTGCTGCAGTGCAATTACGGAGTGGAAATAAGGGAACGAAACAAATGACATAAATACTGTGTGTTGGCGATAGACAGCGTGCACTGCCCTGCTATAATCATACGATTACGGTTTGGGTTAGGGTTTGGGCTAGGGTTAAGGGTAGGGTGTGGGTTAGGGTTACGGGTAGTGTCGCCACATCTCGTCTTTGCACAAACTCATAGTAGCAACCCAAACCCTAACCCAAACCGTATGATGACAGTAGGGCACTGCACGCTGTCTATCGCCAACACACAGTAATTATGTCACTTGTTTCGTTCGCTCTATTCCACTCCGTAATGCGTCACAAGAAACGGTAATTGAACGCGGTCGCTAATTTGAGTCGCAGCGTGGGGTCTGCCAGGCATGTCGACCTCACTGTGTTTTTTTATTAGTGCCTTCTCCAGTCCGTAACTGCACTGCAGCCAGGGGACAGAACTCCGACTAACCGGCCGTCTACTGTTGTCTACCGGCCGTAGTTGAAAGGAGAGCCCTTTTTTATAACAAGACATGATTATTGGTGATACATGTAAATAATACCCAGTCATGCATAGTACATTGTCTGCGATAGAAAGAGTTCAATGACAGTTGCACAACCAGTTGCAAAATCATTTGTTGGACTCCCCTCCTGGCCACACTGAATTATATTGTGTGTATATATATATATATATATATATATATATATATATATATATATATATATATATATATATATATATATATATATATATACGATAAAACAATTCAGCTGACGTGTGACTACCTACTGTGACAGTGTAGCTTAACAATAGTGACATTTACAAAATAACAAAAAACATTAAAGAAACTGATATAATAAAACATTGCAATAACAGATTACAAAGGAATTACTTCTCGATCTTTGAGTCCCAGTAACAAGACTTCTTCCATTAGTGTAAGTCGAGTTTCTTTCGAGTCGTGGTCTTCCTCTGATTCCCTCTCTTGTAATTTGTCTTCCTTCTCGTCAGCAGTTCCATCTACTGTATTACTGGTAGTGGTGATATTTCGTCTCTGGATAAGACCGCTAGGGCGGGTGTATGCGGCTGACATTGCTGGGGAAAACTATAATCAACAAAGATAGAAAGAGAAGGAATGAAAAGTTGTAAACCCAAGGCAACAATTATCAACTGAGTCAAAACATTAAAGATGGCTGCCGTTAGACGTCAGTGCGAACGGGATTTGACGAGATCAAACATACAACATGGGGAGAAAACTATAATCGTTCTTTTTCTTGGTCTTCTGCCAGTTATTCTTCCTCATCTTCTTTTCTTCCTACAGTCCTTCTGTTACTTCCTTGTCTGTCTTCTTTTCTTTCTCTTCTTTATCCTCCTCCTCCTTCTTCACCCCACCTCCTCCTGCGGCTAGATGTGGTCAGTTGGGAGCAATTGAACAATGTAGAGACACGAATCGATATTATGGGCTGGAGAGAACGGTACGGCTGGGAGTGACCAGAGGATCTGGTCGATACTGTGCACTCATAGAAAAAAGCAAGACGAACATATAATCTAACTGCTACTGCCACCATCGGAACTGGAACACTTCGCTTGCGACTGAAGTTGAGGACGAGGCGCTTATGGTAATGTCCTGAGTTCTGAGTTGTTAGTTCTTAGCTCAAAACTCCTGCAGTAATTCTTCTACTTCTTTTCTCCCTCTCTTCGGCCTGTTCTGCTTCTTTTTGTGTGACTGACACATTTTATTGTTGTTTACAGCTAGACTGCGATATCTTCACCCTTCGGCCCAACACATCCGATGTCACAAACCCTTTATTAGTCTCCATTTGCGGTCTGCTTATGATTGACACTGGATCTGCTTGTACGAACTTCACTGTCTTTTGTAATTCGTTCAGCGACCCGGGTGGTTCGCGGGGTTTACCCAGCCTCTGGGTAATGGGTGCAGAGTTACCACTCTGGGGTAAATGGAGGAACGTCTCTGTAGCTATGGAGTTAATCAAGTAACAGAAAGTATTGTCCTTATCAGCTCTCCGTACTGGTTAATCAGATTGCTAGCTCCCGCCTGCCTAAGGTCACGTGTTCAAATATACATAGAGGTAACGGTTTTTGTTTATTTCAAAATTGACATTGGCTCGTAAGTTAAACCAACTTAAAATAGGCGACGAAGGCTCTCAAGCTGCAGCGTCCACTTTCCGTTTGTGTTGTTGTAATGTAAAGCTTGTCTACCTTCCGTGTGGTTTGATTTATATCTTTTCATTACATTTTTAAAGCTTCACTGCAGTTCACCAATTTTACCCACCTCGTGTGTCTCGAGATTGCAACTGCAGTTGTCAAGCAGCATTAATTCATTATGCTCAAGACCCTCCTACATACATTCTTTGGTAAATACAGGTTTTTGTGAATAAGATACAAAATAAGAAGGAATATATGCACACTAACTGACTGACATTTTACCCCACTAGGACATCACACTGAGTGATAAACACCAGGGGATACAAAGTGCCAGTATTCGGATGAGGAACACCCGTGGAGAGGTCCGAAAAATCCCGTCAACCGTTAAGGTTATATTAAGTCCCCCCCCCCCCTCCCTCTTTTTTTCAGCAACAGCCAGGGTGAGGCATCAAAATAACAAAAAATTCGTCACACATGGGGACGGACAGTGTCAAAAATATGTACATATCTGCATGACCATTTTTGTGAGTGTTTTTATGTACGTAAATAAATATTCATAAATACATCTCTCTCTATCCTCTTTTACCCACCAGTACATCACACAAGCGATAAACACCCGATGACACAATGTGCTACCATGTGGATGAAGATCATCCGTGGAGAGGTCCCAGAAACCGCGTTCAGCCATTAGACCATATTTATAGCCGGGCTATATTGTACTGTTCACGCAGTACAAATACTAAAATTGGAACGATACAGAGAAGATAATGGGTTGAAATGAATTCTGTCCGTATTCCATAGTCGTGGATTTCAAGCTGTACGATAGACATGGCCAATGAGACACCTTTTTTTGGGGGTGCCGAGTTGACCATGTATCTTAGTGCACTTGTATTCATGGCGAGGCGCAGACGCCGTCTGGAGGTGACAGGTTCAATTCCCGGCACGGTAACTATAGCTTTCGATTTTTATGTTGTCTAGTGTGTTCTTCTATCTTTCTACTTCTTTCTATGAGTGCCGTTCACAATACTTTCTGTCACTTGATTAATTCATAATATTTAACGGCTTCAAATGGTTCCCCTCTCTGTTTATTTATAGGAATGACGTATACACACCGGAACCTACCAATCAAATACCTTTCTTAAATGTTTGTGTATTCTAGACAGGGCAATAAGGTCTACTGTGTACGTAAATTGTTGCTGTGATTGTTATTTGACATTTGCCCTCGTTAATATAAATTTCTGTAACCTATGGTGCCATTTCAATGGGTTGAAATGAATTCTGTCCGTATTCCATAGTCGTGGATTTCAAGCTGTACGATAGACATGGCCAATGAGACACCTTTTTTTGGGGGTGCCGAGTTGACCATGTATCTTAGTGCACTTGTATTCATGGCGAGGCGCAGACGCCGTCTGGAGGTGACAGGTTCAATTCCCGGCACGGTAACTATAGCTTTCGATTTTTATGTTGTCTAGTGTGTTCTTCTATCTTTCTACTTCTTTCTATGAGTGCCGTTCACAATACTTTCTGTCACTTGATTAATTCAGAGAAGATAAGGCATGGCCCCTGCGCAAGGATGACACGCAAATTCGTGAAGCGTTCCATATTTTTGCGGCGTCCGTGGCTAAGGCGTTGCGAGTCCGACTCGTAATCCAACGTGGATTTTTATCATGGTATGGGACGTCGCAGGTCGACCCAGCCTCAAATGGGTACCAGGATGGGCTGTCCTGGGAAAGTAAAGACGGCCGGCGTAATGCTGACCACATTACCCACCGAGTGCCGATTGGTCTGTAAAGATATGGGTGCTCTTTTCATATGCCCGATGCGCCTAAGGGCGTGTAAAGGGATCTTTACTTTTTTAAACTTTTATATTGCGGCCCCTGGCAAGAGCCAGAGTAGGGCTTCAAATAACGAAAAATCTATCTTATCTTCTTTTACCCCACCAGGACATCACATGGGCGATAAACAGCCGATGATACAAAGTGCCACCATGTGGATGAGGATCACCCGTGAAGAAGTCTAGGAAACCGCGTTCAGCCATTAGACCATATTTATGACCGGGCTATATTGCGGCCCCTGGCAAGAGCCCGGGTGGGGCTTCAAAATAACAAAAAATTGCACCTCACATGGCGACGATAAGTTAATACGTTCATATATTCATAAACACAGACACCCATACATTAACATGCTGGCTTGATCTAAACTGCTGTAAAGTTAATTTTGCAATTTATATAAAAAAAAAACTAGTTTCGTCCTTTTTAGGACGAAATTTTTTGTCATTTGAAGCCCTACTCTGGCTTTTGCCAGGGGCCGCAATATAGGCAGGTCATACATATGGCCAAATGTCTGAACGCGGTTTCTGGGACCTCTCCACGGCGATCCTCATCCGCATGGTGGCACTTTGTGTCATCGGGTGTTTATCGCTTGTGTGATGTCCTGGTGGGGTAGAAAGTCAGTCAGTCAGTCATTTTGCAATGAAAGGGGTACAAGGGTTGGTGGGGTGGGGTTGGGTGTTATGTTGTAGTGCTAATGTACTGAATTATTCCTCCTCCCAACTGTTTATCCCGTTTTGTCGTTCATCATTTTATAAATGTTTATCTGTGTATACTTTTGTCCACCTTGGCATAAGCAATTCCCGCTGTTATCTCCCTTCAACCAGGAGATGCTTGCCTAAAACCCATTTTTCGATACACGTGTTTCATTTCCAGCAGAGCAAATGACCCGAAACAGACAGCCATCTGTAAACGCAATACATCATACACACAGGCGTAACAGACGGTATAGACAAAACACGATCGTTATAAATACATTAAGTGTTAGCGGAATCAGCTTTTGCGAAATCCTGCTATCTGAATTGAGATATTCTTCAGTTTAGAGGAGTGAACTGTATAGTTGCTAGTCTGTTACTTGTTAAGCTGTCAATCCTCTATAAATTAATACTCAAAATATCCGGTCATCTCCTGGTGAGATGCAATTTTTCGTTATTTGAAGCCCTACACTGGCTCTTGCCGGGGGCCGCAATATAGCCCGACCACAAATATGGTCTAATGGCTGAACGCGGTTTCTGGGACCTCTCCACGGGGGATCCTCATCAACATGGTGACACTTTGTGTCATCAGGTGTTTATCGCTGGTGTGATGTCCTGGTGGGGTAAAAATCTACTACTACTACTATCTTCTATAAAATTATATTTTAAACATAAGTTTATTGAATACGAAGTAATTCCCCATGCGTTTGTTAGTATTCTTCATCATCAAGTGCCTTACCGACTGGTGTGGGTAATCATGACTTCCCACAATCTAAGATCTACAACAGCATGTATCAGCTTGTGCCTTCACGTGGCTCCATGACAAGGCAAACGCATGTCAAGAATCTGCTCGCGTTGTATTTCTCTGTCTCTTTTCTTTCCAAAGATCTTTCCAGTGGTCACAACATTATCCGGTTTCGTTCTTCTCATAATATGAGAAATAAAGGGGATCACTGTCTCTTTGTGATGTTTGTGACACGCTGTCTTCGAGCTCTCACCTCTTTCAAAACATCCGGGTTGCTTTTTGTGTGTGCAAGGGTCTGTAAAACCACATTTCCATGGCTTCAAGAGTCTGGTTTGTTGCAAGTACGAATTCCTTTTTCTAACTTTAAGTAACATAAATTTTTTGCATACAATGATTTTCATTTTGATAAAATGCAGTTTTGGCCTGTACTGTAATTTTCTGTATCTTTATGATACGTCTTCGGTCGGATTTTATGTAAGAGCTTAGATACTTAAATTTATGTTAGTTCTAACCAATATGTTGTATACTATTTAAAACAACGAATTAGAATACACACACGGCTGGCTACTAAAAGGAACCACAGATTGTCATAATTTTGACATTCAAATTCTTTGTAATTTAAAGAGTGAAATGGTTCAAATTGTACTAGAGAATACCA